TCCTGTGGGTGAAGGTCTGCTTTATCCTGGGTCTCAGATTCCTTTTGCCTTGATACTCCTCCTTCTTGGCCAGTCCAACCCTCCCAGCTAGTGTTAAAGGCTGTTCCTTAGGAATTTTCAAGTGAACAAAGGTATATGATCCTGGGAATGTAGAATTTAGGATTAGCAGGCTTTCCTCCATCACTGTATTTTGTTGCACAAAGTTATTTCTCCTCTGCTGTTGCGGTCGCTCTTCATCTCCTGCTGTGATACGGGCATCCGCCACAGCCATCGTGGCAGAAGGGAGGAAGGTGAATGTGCCCCTGAAGGTTTAAATTAATTGCATTTCTCTACTGTGCTCCAAGTGAGCCTGTGCTTTCGGAGAACACAATTTTAAACTTCTAACTTAGCCATAATTGGAAAGGGAATGTCGTTATTAAAATTCTGAGTGTTACAGTAAATCTCCTCCAGGAGAGCAGTAGAAAACATTCTTATGCTAATGTGAGAGCAACAGGATGAAAACTCTTCTTGGGCAGGTATCTGCTTAATGAAAAACATCCCAATATTGATGTTGTGACATCATTTCACTTAAGAACATCTCTAGTTCTCAAAAAAATAAGTAAATAAAAACCAAACATGGTTAAGTGTGTACTCTTCATATCCAAATCAAGCAGGATAGGAGATACTCTACCAATAGTTTAAGTAATCATCATCATCATCATCATCATCATCAATATAGCACTTTGAGTCTTGCAAAGTGATATATACATATATATGTTATCTCATTTTATCCTTACAACACCCCTTTGAAGTAGGTGTTATTATTACCCCCATTTTACAGATGAGAAAATTGAGGCTTCAAGAGATTAAGTGATTTGCCCCAGATTACACAACTAGTAAATGTCTGAAGAAGGATTGAACTCAGGTCTTCCTAATTCCAGGCCTAGAACTCTATCCACTATGCCACCTACCTGCATAATCATTTTCTTAGTATTTGAGAGTACACACTGTGGTAGGCACAAACAACCCAATTTCCCAGGTTCTTGCTCTTTGGAAAGTTAATGGCAACTCTTTGAGTCTTGGTTGAGGAAAGATATGTGTGTGTGTGTGTGTGTGTGTGTGTGTGTGTGTGTGTGTGTGTGTACACACACACACACACACACACACATGAAATCAATTTGCTCTCCCTATCTGTTTACTCTACTTCTCTGCTGAAGCCTACTCTTTCCCTTTTTGGGACTGTGGCTCAGTTTCTCCTACCTTCCTTTGAAGAGATGGTCTCTATACCCTTATCTTTCTCTAGAAATTATACTGTTCAAAGCCCAGGTCAAATACCACTTCCTCTGTGGAACCTTTCCTGATCCCCTGAGTCAACAATGACCTTTTCATCTTGAAGGACTCCTACAGTGCTTTGTTCATGCTAGATAGCGGCCAAATTAATAAATAGTCAAAGGATATAAACACAGAAATCTGAAAAAAATGAGAGACTGTACAGCGACTGTACAGTTGCTCAAAGTCAATAAAAGAGAACAAATTGTAATAATTCTAAGCTTTCACCTCATTCCTGACAAAAGGTGAGAATGGTTAATGCTGGAGAGACTGTGGGAAGAGAGGCACATTGTTGGTGTACTGTTAGTGGAGCTCGGGAGTGGTCCGACCACTCTGGAAAGCAAGAAAGACTTCCTCAGGGGTCTTTAAGCAGAGTTTGGATGACCACCTGTTAATGATGTTATCATGCAAATTCCTTTCAAAAATTCCTATCAAATAGAAGGTCCCTGATTGCTGTCAAATTCTGTGATTTTGTGAATTTGATTGTGATAGTTAATTCTTCTCTTTTAATAGTTTTATATTTAATTTTTACTTCTGTTGTAAGCTTAGTTCGTACATTGTAGAGAGACATTAGAGGTCATCTATGCCAGCTCCCTCATTTTACAAGTGAGGAAACTGAGGGTCATATAGGTTAAATGCCCTGCTCAGGATCACACAGGTCACAAGGGATGGAGCTAGGGTTTGGACCTAGATCCTTCCATTCCCGATCCATCACTCTTTCCCTTTCTTCGTGCTGTCTCTCTAGCTCTTTTGTTCACATCCAAAACTGCCTTGTTAGCTATTGATACTCAAAAGAAAAAGATTGCTGAAGAAGAAAAGTCTTTTGCAGTTAGTATGGTAGACTGCAAAGTTTGAGAGCTTTCTTAGAACTGATTCTAATGTGTGGCAAATGATTGTTAGAAATGAGGAACCAAGTTACTTTGTAAGTGCTAAATGATATTAACTTGTGTTATCTTTAATGACATTCTTGTTACTTGGAAAACCATTACAAATTACAGAGGTTGCTTTGTGAAGAGTACTGTTTTTTTTAAAAAATGAATCAACTTTGTTGTACAGGGATATGATATAATTAATTTTTCTAATATTTCCTCCTATTTAATACCAGTTAGTTTTAGATTATGACAGTGGAGAGCTTTGAAAAGTTAAATTTTCCTTTTCCCATGTCTACTATCCTTTTCAATTATCCATTAAAACTAGAAAACGCCTTTAATGTTAGCCCACAATGTAAACTAAGTTGTCCAGCAACTCATTCAATTAGAGTTTACCTCATCACATGCACTCCAGTGATCAGGAAACTGGGGCAGCCAGCATTTAGTTTACTGGACACCACTATCCAGTTCTTCAGTAGTCACTGATTTTCATAAAGACCCCAAAGATAATTCTACAAGGCAATTCCATTAAACCAGATTTGTTAAGTGCTTAAACTTGTGCTGGACACTGTACGTTTTTCCTCAAGGAACTTACATTTTGCAACTTGCATATAGATAAGTATATACAAACAAAATTCTGTTGAGGGTAACCCCAACAGTAGGTAGGATTAGGAATCGACTCCTTTAGAAGGTGACATCTGAACTGAACTTTGAGGGGAACTAGGGATTCCTAAACTGTTTTTTTTTTCCCCTTGAGTCATCAAAGATGACATAAAGCTCCCTTCTCAAAGTGTGGCCCACAGAACCCTGGCAGTCCCTTTGATGTTCTTGAGATCAAAATTATTTTTATAACGATACTAAAATTGGCCCATTAAAATACTTTTCCATTTTCCATATACATACATATTTGTAAAGCCTGTATTTTCCTTACATACTTCAACCAAAACAATATATCATGACATGAGAACCCATATTCTATTAAGCCTTCTTCTTATTAAGCCAAACATTAAAAAGCTTTGCAAAAACATGTAAAATAATGCCACTCTTCTCACTGTTTTTTGTTTCAGAAAATACAGCTATTTTTCATTAAAATGTTATTTATGTCCATATAATGGATTTATTGGTACTTTTAATGAATTAATAAATTTTAAAAGCTTATAAATTTTAATTTTTGATATGGCAAATATAAAAAATATAAGCCACAGAAAAGAAGCTTTGGGGAATCTTTAATAATTTTTTATAGTGCACAGAGATCCTGAGATGAAAAGGTTTGCAAACTTTTATATAATTTTCATGATTGTTTTTTAAAAGACCTGTGATTATTTTGGTGAGAGAAATCCCTAATGAGGAAACACCCCCGACCAACAAAAATGATTAACTCTTCTACAAGTCTTAAAAATTTGCCTGGAGCATGGCAGGGTTAACTGGCCCCACTGAGAACCCATGAGCACCATAACTAGTATATCTCTGATTTGAGTAAAAGACTACCTTATATTTCAAAGCCAGGTCTTAATTCATCACATCATGACTATCCCTAATTTTGTTTTTTTGATGAGTACATTAAATTTCAATTTTGGAAAATCCCTCCTTTGGCTATGGTCTGTATCTCCCAACCATACTGGATAAAAGAATTGACTATTTGAGTACTGATCATAGTTTGTAAACTTGATTCAACCTCATGGTAGATATATTTTGCATGTGCTATGCTTGGCACAATTTAATACAGAGCAATGTAAACAAAATGGTCCTTGCCTTCCCAGAGCTGACTCTTGAAAGCAAACATCAACACAGACAATCAATATGATGACTGCATGGATGGGATGAATGGATGGATGGATGGATGGATGGATGGATGGATGGATGGATGGATG